TCTATCTATCTATCTATCTATCTATCTATCTATCTATCTATCTATCTATCTATCTATCTATCTATCTATCTATCTATCTATCTATCTAATCTATCACCTACCTACCTATAAAAATGGCTGTCTGTGTACGTGTTTGTGTGTTCCAGCATAACTCTGGAACGGCTCAAGCAATTTCAACCAAACTTGGTACACAGATAACTTACTCTCTGGAAAAAAATACTGTGGGGGTAAGACACCCCTAACACAGAGGTGGGTTGCTCCCGGTTTTACTACCGGTTTGCTTTGCACACATTTCGCTGTTTTCAAGCTAGTTTCCAGACTGTTCTCGAACTGAAAATTCGCCTGAAAACAGCCCAAAAAACAGACTGAAAACAGCCCGAAAAATGGCCCCAAACTAGGCAAAGACCAGCTGGTCTTTAAGTTTCCGGTGGTCCAGCGCATGCATAAGCACACACATGTGTGCACATTCTGGTTTGGGAACTCGGTACCGAAAAGGTCCATCATCACTGTCCTAGAGTCACTTTTTAAATTATTTTTGTTTGTTTGTTTTCAGGATTCCGAGGAATTAGCCAAGTGGCAGCTAAAATAGACATGGAATTTGACTATGATGGACCACTGATGAAGACCGAAGTCCCTGGGCCGAGATCCAGGGTAAGTCAAGATGAGGACTCCCATCCTTAATACTCCTCAACTCCACTATCATTATCTCCAAATATTTGGGGCGGGGGGTGGGGGACACAAGAGATTAAACATACCTTAAAAGTCCTTCCTTGACTTAGTGGTTGGATTTTACCGTAATTCCTTTTTTTAAAATAACTTTATTAGATTTTCAAATAAGGAAAGAAAAACACAAACTAATAATTAAAATAAAAAAGAGAGAAAAGCCAAGCCAGAAGTGCAGACAGAAAACGAAAGAAAAACAAGTATGAACTATTTCCTACTTTCGTTTACAGCAGAAACAAGTATAAATTTACATGAAACTCTTATGCTAAATTAATATCACTGCTTTCCTTGTTTTCTATTCTCTACAATTTTTTTCTAATCATCAAATCTAAAAGTTATTTTATTTTTTTCTGTTTAAAAAAAGTCCAATTTTCCAATCAGTCTACTTGGACTTTAATTCCCATTGCATGGAGATGAATGCAAACTCTGGAATACTGTTTTATCATTATAATCCTTATTTCATTTTATTATTTATTTTATTATTTATTTTATTTATTTTATTTATTTTATTTATTTTATTTATTTTATTTATTTTATTTATTTTATTTATTTTATT